AAACCCCTTTTCCATTGCTCCCACCGTCCAAGTAATTTGTCAGGAATGGGATCATCCCACCCAATGCCTCTGCGACATAACTCCTGCAGAATGCTTTTGCCACTCAGGGTGAAAGGGGCTACAAAACCGAGTGGGTCAAACAGGGATGAGATAACAGACTGAATGCTTCGGCGGGTGGGAGGTTGTTCTTTTGTGCTGGTATTAAAACTGAAAGTGTCATTTTCAATGGACCATTGGATTCCAAGCACATGGTCTTCTGAGGCTGGGTCTGGTTTGAGATTAAGCAGTTTAGTAGCATCTGCTCTCTCGGAGGGTGCAAGATGGGAAAGCGCGTTAGTGTGGCTTGAGTTGAATTTGTGCAGGTGTAAGCCTGCGAGTTTGCACAGCTCTTGGGACTCTGTTATAAGTTCTCTGACCTCTTTGACTGATGGGACACTTGTCAGCCCATCGTCCACATAAAAGTTCCTTTCAATAAAGTCTGAGGCTTTGGGGTAGTCAGATCTGTGCTGCTGTGCAAGATATTTAAGGCCAAAATTAGCGCACCCGGGTGAGGAACCAGCGATAAACAAATGAACAGCCATTCTGTATTCTTTAGGTTCTGTGTCTAGCTGTCCATTTTCCCACCACAAGAATCTCAGATAGTTGCGCATTTCAGGACTGACAAAAAACTGATGGAACATTTTCTGTATGTCGCAGATTATTGCCACAGTTTCCCTTCTAAAGCGACATAACACTCCTACCAAAGAGTTAGTCATATCGGGACCGGTAAGGAGTGTATCATTCAGACTGATGCCAAGAAACTTTGAAGAAGCATCAAAGACTACTCTTAATTTTGTCGGCTTCTTCGGGTGGTACACCCCATGGTGTGGGATGTACCACACGATTTCACCCTCAGACACCGGGGGGGCTAGTTCTGCATCACCACTTTTTATAATGTCATTCATGAAGGCTGTGTAATGCTCATGGTACTGTTTGTCAGCCTTTAGCCTTTTCTTAAGGTGTTGTAGTCGCACAGTGGCTAGCCTTTTGTTGTTTGGGAGAGTGGGTGAGTGGCTGTCTTTGAAAGGGAGGGGCATTTCGTAGTGTCCATCAGGCCTTTGCACTATTGTGTCACTTAGAAGTTGTATGAAGCGAACGTCATCTTGAGACACATACTTGTCCTCATAATGGCTTTCATTAAAGTCTAACTCTAAAACCTTAAGCACATCAGTAGCTAATGGTGTGGGCATTTCCTTTACCGTGATACGATGCACAAAACTTTGATTACCTTGTCTGTCTAAATGGGGATTTGCTGACCCAATAATACTCCAGCCTAGTACAGTTTTCTGAGCAAAAGGCTCGTTTACTTGTCCGGTCACAACCTCCAGGGGAGCTAAAGCTGATGGGCAGTCATATCCAATTAATAAACCCACATCACAATCTTGCAATGGTTTCATTTTATCAACTAAGCCTCTTAGGTGTGGCCACTGAAGTACAGTTTCTCTGGTAGGAATATCTGACTTGTCAACAGGGATAAAGTCCCTTGAGTATGCTTGATTTATTTGTACATGGGTATCTGAGTCAAAACCACGCACCTTTAAGTTGCAAGCAAGTTTATTAGCTACAACAGTGTCAACAGAGGTCATTGTACTTAACTTTAACTGCACTGGTTTAGAGTCTACCTTTAGTTCAGTGGCTAATTCTCCTAAGATAAAGGATGCATCACTTTGGGTGTCAAGCAAGGCATAAGTAAGTATTTCTTTCTGGGGCTGAGAAGCAGCTGACACAAAGACTGGTACTCTGCTGGATGTGGCAGATGTCTTCCTTGTCAAGACATGGGCCATGACTTTATGCACTTCTTTGTTTGTACTTTCTTCTGAATTCTATGTATTTTCATTTGGATTTGATTTCTTCACCTTTTCTGTGTGCAGACATGTTGGGTGGCGTCGACCACATTTACCGCAGGAGTGGCGTGCTTTGCATTCTTTGGTTACATGGCCTTTTCTGAGACATCCGAAGCAGAGGTGATTCTCACAAATGAATGCTGTCTTTTCGTCACTGGTCTTTTCTGCAAAGGTGGAACACTTGACTATGCCGTGGGTGTTGTCACTGCAAAACAAACAAGGTGGCTTAGGTTTGGGGGTTACTACTGAAGGCATGTATGACTTTGCTTGGACAGTAGTGTTGAGTGCTTTTGCTCGCTTAATGACTCTCTCATCTGAAGCCTTTTCATTTATTAAGAATGGTGAGGCAATGGGATCGCAAGCTACTTTAGCTTCCCTTTGTATAAACTCTGTGAACTGGGCAAAACAGAGATATTCTTGATTTTTATCCAGCTCATCCACCACAATGCGACTCCATCTTTTTACAATCCAGTCAGGCAGTTTCTTTAGGAGCTTATGGTTTTCTTCGCAATCGGTAAGAATGTCTAGACCTTTTACTTGAGGAATGGCCTCGGCAAAACTCTGTAGGAAATCTGCAAACTCTCTAAGTGCTAGGGGGTCATTTGCATTTATCTTTGGCCATTTCGTAAGCTTAGTTCTGAAAGCTCGTTGAACTATGAATGTGCTGCCATACCTTTCCTGTAGTACATCTCAGATGCCCCGATATGCCTGCTCAGAATTACGAAAGAAATACCCCTCTACAGCTTTCTTTGCTTCACCTGCAAGATAACGTTTAAGGTACAGCATTTTCTCACATACAGGTAAAGGTTTACTGCCTATTAGTGCTATGAAGGATATTTTCCAGTCCATAAACATTAGCGGGTCACCACTAAAAATGGCAGGCTCGGGTATAGGTAGGCGATTTAGACTTAGGGAACCTGCAAGATATTGAGCTAAACTGAGCTCTTGTTGACCTGAGAGAGTGTTGAAAGGCTGAAAGGCTGGTGCCTGTGGGTTTAGGGAGGGCTGGAAGGCAGTGTTACCTCTTACAGGATTATCTGAATGGTGGCTTGACATATCTATGTCTACAGACCCATCTAGGGCATTGTAAGCTTTTACTCTCGCAGCTGGCACCTTCACTTCACTGTCTGCCTTAAGCTGTTGTAGTTTAGTTTTTTCCTCCTCTAACTTTACTTTAATTTCAACTTCCTGTCTTTTAAGTTCAGCATGTACCTGATATTCTCTCATTTTCCAATCACTCTCTATTTTGGTCAGTTTAGCTTCTTGTGCAAGTATTTCCTTTGTCACTTTAGCTTGTTCCATTTTGACAGCTAGTTCAGCTTCAGCATCTGCACAACCACTTCCAGAAATCTTTGACTTAGCTGCTGAAAGGGTTGTTTCAGTTTTTGTGTCTCCAAATACTGAGCCATAGTCTTCTTTGTTAAGTATCATTCTGACTCTTTCTTTCTCAAGCTGATCATTGAAAGCTTCCTCTATAGTGTCAAGCCGTTTTTGGATGAGCTCACATACATCAGTTGTGATCACATTGCATGCATCCATCCTTTTAACAATGTCCTGACTCATGGAGTGGTTGCGGCAAATAGGCTCATAGTTTTGTTTGACTAGATCGTGCTTAGCTCTTATGCTATGGCTGGCCTCATTGAGTTCCTCTGCAGAACAGGGACCCTTTAACTGTGTTCTGATTGCTTTGGCCAACTCTTTCCAAGTTTCATAAGCTTTGCTAAATGTCTTTTCATGTTTCTTTGCCTCCTGTTCATGCATCTCTTTGCCCTTTTCACTTAAGTTACGTATACGGCTACTGCATCTTAATTGTTCCAAATTGTTAATTTCTTCAGCCGAGTCTAACATTTTGGTGGCTTATGTTATATGATTTCTTTTGGCAAAATGTGTAGACTTGTAATAAAATTATAACTCCAAACGGTGGCTGGTGATGAGTAGCGATGAACAGACTGCAACTTGACTGGCGAAGAGTTTCTCTGGGTTGGCGAACAGCTCCACCGGTCTGGTGTCAGTCGAGTTTTCACTGTAGCAGTCCCTCAGATTCAATAAAACGGAGAGAGCTTCGACTGGTGCGAATATTTTACTGATTTCAGCAACATCAAACAGCACCGTGAAAACTACACGGAAAAGAAAAACAGAAAACATGAATATTTAACAATAAGATCAAATATACTAACATAAATGGTAAATAAACTAAAATTCACCACATTCACTAATACATATAAACAAACAAACAGGTACCTTGCTCCGCTGTCTGATTATTAAATGTATGATGTATTAAACAAAATTTTGATAGTGGTATGACACATGTCTCAAGCATTGATCTGGCAAGTTCTGCAGCTATTTACTTCTGGAGGGGTGTGGTTGAACAGGTAAGGTTACGGCGCCATCTACTGAACTGGCTGACATTTACAATGCAGAAGATTTTAATTAATAATCTGCTGCAGTGTAGAACTTGTACAATAGTATCTGGAAACGGTTGGTTTGAACTGCGCAGTGGATTGTGGGATGCCTTATAGCTCCTTACTGCTGGTTAGGGACATGGATCTTAAATGTTAAAGGAGCTGTTAAAGTTATGTTTATCAGACAGTTAACAGAGTTGAGATGAGCTTGAGTTGAGTTGTTTTAGTTTTGAATGAAAATAAGGCAGTATGTATTATTTCTTCCATTATTTTACAGTTAAATTATTATTTTAGTATACAGGGATTTTTTTTTCTGTTGCAGAAGCACTTTGTTCTTGCAGGAACTGCCTACCTTTTTGCTCTTCAAAAAAAAAGACCTTGTGGAATTTTTTGTCATTTTTGTTTTTTCAGTAGTTTTGGGGGGATTATTTTTCCTGTACAAATATCAATGTATATATTGTATTTTGAGATATAGCAAAATATATCAAGATATATTTTTTGCTAAATATCGCCCAGCCCACACTATTACTTCTGATACTTGGAAAAGTATAACAAACATTTTTGAGGCTGTTGTGTTGTCCATTCTGTTGGAAAAGCAAAAGATAATAACTGAAGAGTGAATGGTAAGAGCAAATAGGCTTTATTTGAGAATTTTGCTAGAACCATGATTTATCTGTAAGTCATTGTATGTTCTTGTCTTGGTGTGTTTTTACAGAAAAAGAGTAGAGAGGAGAGCTGCGGTGAGGGCAGTGGTGTAGAAATCCTGGAGAATAAGCCTTATGAGGATGGACCCGGCGGTTCGGGTCAGTACACACACAAGGTCTATCACATTGGCAAGCACATCCCCTCCTGGTTCTGTGCCATCTTGCCACAGGCAGCGCTTCGAGTGGAGGAGGAGTCGTGGAACGCTTACCCATACACACGCACGCGGTGAGAGTGCAACATCAGTTACTTATGAAATACATTCATGTCACAATCACTAGCCAATAAAACCACCTCAAACTAGTATTTAGTTAGGGAAACACTGATCCTATGAATATTATATATATATATATATATATATATATATATATATATATATATATATATATATTATATATATATTTTTTTTTTTTTCATTTATTATTATTATTTTAAAAAAAATATATTTATATATATATATATATAAAATATATATATGTATATATGTATGTGTAAACTTACATATGGCACTATCTCTTTTTTTGTATTATTTGTATACTTTTTTTTGTATTATTACTGAAAATGTCACAAAAAGGTAAAATAATAATTAATACTGCTAAAACAATTGTAACAAGCTCAAAATAATTAAATTTATTGAACCAAGTAAATGAAAATGGTTGACAGACACATTTAAAAATATTTCTGATGTTACTTCCCATTATTACAATAACCTAGTCAAAAGTATGTTTTATTTCACTGAGCAATTTGTTTTTTTGATTTTTAGATACACATGTCCATTTGTGGAGAAATTTTCAATAGACATAGAAACATATTATAAACCTGACACAGGAAATCAAGTGGATGTTTTCAATCTGTCCTCTGCTGAGAAAAGAGTAAGGACAATAGGTAAGTTTAGACATCACCAAAAACATACACAAACACTAAGACAATATACTTTCTTATGTTTGTTTCCTTTGGATAATCACAGATCCCATAGACATAGTGAAGGACTACATTGCCCCTCATGAGTATTTAGTGGAAGAGGACCCTAAATTATATCAGTCAATCAAGACCAAACGGGGGCCACTATCTGAGGACTGGATTGAAGAAATCAACCAAAACCCAGGTCAGAACCCAGTCATGTGTGCCTACAAGCTCTGCAAAGTGGAATTCAGATACTGGGGGATGCAATCCAAAATCGAACGCTTTATACATGATGTTGGTAAGTGTTTTAGATGTGTGTTATCTGTGTGTTGATATCAATGTGTTTTAGATAGAGTAGTGTCAAATGTGTTTACAATTGCTTTAAAATTGTTAAATATCTTTCTCTAATTAGTAACAAATTATTTTAATTAGTGCAAATGATACGTTTATGAGAGAACTGAGAAATCAGAACATGTTTAATAGTTGAGAGCTGTGTTTTAGTGAGAATGGAGTCTGTAGATCAGACAGATAAAACTGTAGGCTGGACCCATTTCCTGCCACTTTGGGTTTTATTGCACTAATTTGAGACCAGTGCCTCTCTTAAACCCTTTATCCTTATTTACTTCTTTTCCTAGTTAATCATTTTATTTGAGCCATTTGATGAAACCTGTTGTTTGTGATTCAGGTCTGCGTAAAGTGATGGTGCGGGCCCACCGACAGGCGTGGTGCTGGCAGGATGAATGGTATGGCCTGACCATAGAGGACATCAGGCTGTTAGAACTGGAGACTCAGCTGGCTTTAGCTAAAAAGATGGGTCAATACAGCCTGAATGAGGAGGGAGGAGCAGAGACAAATGGCTCTTCTCTGAGTCCAGACCAGGAGCAGGGAGCAGGGACAATGGGACCAACCGCAGAAAATGAGGGAGGGGCAACTAAAATGGTGGAATCACTGGAAACAAGAGGAGAACTCACCAAACAATGGTCGACGTCTTCCAGATCCTCCAACCGCTCGTCCAAGAGAGGAGGTTTGCGTTACATTTCTCAATGAGAACACAGTTCCTTTGTTGTTTCATAGAGGCAATGTCAAAGATTTTATAAGAAAAATAATCCCATGTGCATACTGTATATTAGAGATAGGTCCATTTATTGGACATATATATAGGACAGGCCGATATTTAGTTTTGGCCATCCAACTGCCAAAAGAATCCCCACAAAGCTGTACAAGGAGTGCAAAGAGATAATTGCACAGAATGTGACGACACAGCCCTCTTATAGGTTTAGGCTGTGGGTGATTTTGTATTACATTTAAATTAGATATTTTTGGAAAATTATCTAAATCTGCCAGTAATATCAGCTCAAAATTATCAGCAGAGCTTATCGACCATCAGTTGCTATGAATTCTAAATAATTTACATCTGCACCAGCCACGAAAAACCCATATGGGTCGATCTCTACTGTATATGTACTGTATTACTTTTCTTTACGCTCTGCAGGAAGTCCCTCACACCAAAGCATATCTGAATGGAGGATGCAAAGCATTGCTCGTGACTCAGAGGACAGCACAGATGATGAATTTTTTGATGCACATGGTAAATTTAAATGAGTTTAATAACTAACACAGTGTACGGATTTTACTTTTATCGTTTACTGTAAGTTTTATAAAGCAATATATTTTATATCACCCCTTTTTACCTTATCCTTTAAAATCATACAGAAGACTTTTCTGACAATGAAGAAATATTTCCCAAGGAGATTACAAAGTGGAGCTCAAATGAGCTAATGGATAAAATTGAAACAATAGAGGTGGATGAAGCACAAGGTGGGTATCTTACTTAGTAGAGAAGCTGTATTGTCATTGTTGGTGATTAAATGTTGTTTTCTTTTGTCCACATAGAAACCTTATATCAGGATTCAGGAGGAGAGTATTCTGTTCTAAGTAATGAGGAGACACACATAGATGTATGCTTTATTTTGTAATCTTCATTAATTAAAATTGGAGGAATCTACAAAATGTCTTGTTTTTGTGTCATCCAGGATGGTTCATCTCAACAGTGTCTTCAGGCATCCAAAATTCATGTCCTTATTTTGGTTCTTCATGGAGGAAACATTCTGGATGCTGGCTCTGGTATGATCAATGATATATTTTTAATCAGATACCTGTTACAATTTGAAACATATTGCAAAAATATATTATGGTTTATTTTTAGGGGACCAAAACAGTAAACAAGCAGATATAAACACTCTGAGTGCTGCTTTTGACACTGTCATGAGGGTTCATTACCCCACAGCACTTGGCCGCATTGCCATTCGGACAGTTCCATGCCCAGCTATTTGTGTGGAGGCATTTTCTCTTGTCTCAAAGTAAGGAAATATCTTAAACTGATTTTGTGATGCTCATTACTGTATTTAACAAGTTATTTTGTGTGTTTGTCAGTCTTAGCCCCTACAGCTATGATGAATCCTGTCTATCCAGTAGTCAGGACCATATACCCCTTGCTGCACTGCCCCTGCTGGCAACGTCAGCCCCTCAGTACCAGGACGCTGTAGCCACAGTTATCCTGCGAGCCAACCAGGTGTACAATGACTTCATCAAGTCTTTAGAAGGGGCTCCATTTACTGGACAAGTGAGTAACAGTAACACACTGAAATGGTCATGCATGAGAACTCAACATCTTTTCAATAACGTATTTTCTGTTTGGCAGGTGTGTGTTATTGGGGACTGTGTCGGTGGGATCTTGGGCTTTGACGCTCTCTGCAGTAGCTCAGTAGTTGTCTCTGAAAGCCAGAACAGCAGCAGACGAGGCAGTGCCATCAGTGTGCAGGTAAGACTATTACTATCTCATACAAGGTTTTTATGAAAAAAACTGTTCTTGTTAATTAATGTCTGCCTTTCAGGACACAGACCTCTTGTCTCCAGGTATTGTGATAAACAGCATCTCCCCATCTTCACCAACTCTAGAAGGAAGTCGACATCTCAGCAGAAGCAACATTGATATTCCTCGAAGCTCAGGCCAAGATGATCCCAAGAAACAGCTCCCTCGCAAACGCAGTGACTCCTCCACATATGAACTTGACACCATTAAGCACCATCAGGCTTTTCTTTCCAGGTTAGAACACCGGAAATAAACAATATAAATTCACATCTGCAGCAGCTTTTAAGTCTGTGTTTGTGTGTGAACAGCCTTCACTCCAGTGTTCTCCATGGCGACCCTGGATCACGACGCTCCAGCAACAGTACTATGCTGGAGGGAGGCTCTTTGGGGAAGTTTGACTTTGAGGTGACAGACTTCTTCCTGTTTGGGTCTCCCCTGGGACTGGTGCTTGCACTGAGGAAGACTGTGGTGCCCTCATTAGATGGTACGGATATGTTTAGCCTTGTTTTACTAACAGTTACACACTAATCAGTACAGGTATATTTAGTAGCATGACTATGTCTCGATGACATTGTTATAAAGTTATAGAAATGCATTATAGCAGGTGTCTTGGTTCAGAGGGTGGGTTTGTGATCTCAGATGTTCAAACTAGTTGCAAGATTTAGAACGGAAAGAAAAATAACTTTGAGACTCAGAGATCCCAAACAAATTAATGTCCTCAGGGATGACAGAGTATTGTCACAGCTGTTCTATTCAACATCTGTACAAATTTGGTTTATTAACACTTCTAAGTAAAATAATGGATTCAAATAAATGTTCTCATTCAAATATAATCATGAAAAGCCAATAAAAAGTCTCACCAGAACATTAAGTAGGGGTTCTTAAATGTTACACAGCACATCTCATTGTCATCAGGCCTAAAACGTGAAGGCAAAATATAGATATTGTCTCCTATCTAGTGTCAGCCCTGCGCCCGGCCTGTCAGCAGGTTTATAACCTCTTTCATCCTGCTGATCCTTCTGCATCGCGCCTGGAGCCCCTCCTGGATAAGCGCTTTTACCTGCTCCCACCCTTTAACATCCCACGATACCAGCGCTTTCCACTGGGGGATGGTCACTCAGCACTGCTTGGTGAGGCTTCCATTGAAAACTGATTGATGTAATCATAATCTGTGTAACATTGACTTGTAATTTGTGTTGCCTTATATCTTGTTTGACACTTTTTTGTCCTTGTTCATTGCACCTGCAGTTGAAACAGTTCAGAGTAACCCTCAGCTCCTGATGGATTCTGGAAGTGGAATCCCCAACCGCCTCCAGGACGGAGTCGTCACTGAAACCTCTATTCCAGTACCTGTGCTTAACTGGCAAGTCACACAGCCCCAAATTGACTGTGAGTACTGTATAGTAATCTTGTGATTCATATATGTTGTACTAAAAACAAGCATTATTGGGATTATTTTCAACAAAATAGTTACCCTTTTAAACTGAAATTACTTTTTTGTTTGTTCTTTTCAGTGGATTTGCTTCATTCTCACTCCTACTCTGATGGCCCATGTCCGTCACCAGGGGCGCCACACCTACGTTGCACCCGCAGGGCCAGCGAGGCCAGCATTGCTAGTCAGGTGTCAGGCTTAGCTGACTCATATACCGCATCCAACATTGCCACAAGTAAGTTGACCCCTGCTCTTTTTTTTTAACTAAAGCAGGTTGTGCAGGACTGTACATTTACATGTCAATATTCTCATCTGCCTACTTGAGCAAGCACACTTGAGGTAAACCAGTCTAAAAGGTCCAGTCTGCTCACCCATCTGGTTCTGCCCTACCATAAAGTAATGCGCACACCGTCACCTCGGTTGTGCAAGAAAATTGCTCAGGTATTCCATATACACAACAGTGGCACGGAGCCTCCCTTGGACCTGAACACTGACTACGCTGATGTCATCTGTGACCTGACAGATATCAGCTCCACCCCCCCATCACCAGGTGTACTGAAGAACATAGAGCAAGGTAGCCTTGGAGCTGTAGTAGAAAGCCATCTTCTTCCCCTTTGTTTTCACTTACCTGACTGCTCTGATTTAATTGTCTTATAGCTGGTAAACAGCCATTAGATCCTCAAGTGCTATAGCCCTATAGTCTGAGCTATGCACATTGTGTTCTAAACCACTTCTGCTCAATATCATTTTATACTTAGACTAGAATCTAGAATGTCCTGTGTGTTCTTACTTCTGATCTACAGATTCCCTGGTTTTCAACTTTTTTGTACCTTTTGTAGATATGTTCATTAGTACTTTCAAGTATGTTTATGTGTTTCTGTTTTTGCTTAGTTGCTTCACGCTGGTGGGGCAGTAAGAGGATGGACTATGCCCTATATTGCCCTGATGCACTGACAGCATTTCCCACAGTAGCCCTGCCTCATCTCTTCCATGCCTCCTACTGGGAGTCAACTGATGTGGTGTCTTTTCTCCTAAGACAGGTGAACATACAAGACACAATATGTTTTATTTTACCATAATGTGTTGTAGTACTGTATATTCTGGGGTATTTAATTGATATATTTTAGTGTGGTTTTGTTACTATGCTTTTAGATGATGAGACATGAAAACTCTAGCATTTTGGAGCTTGACGGAAAAGAGGTGTCAGAATTTACTCCTTCAAAACCTCGGGAAAAGTGGCTTCGCAAAAGAACTCACGTTAAGATTCGGGTATGCATCTTATTTCCAGATCATGTAATGGCCTTACTGACTGTAGGAAATCCATATAATTTTCAGTTGTTTTCTATATTTAACAGAATGTAACGGCCAACCACAGAGTTAACGATTCTGTGTACTCAGAGGATGGGCCCCAGATGGTAACAGGCCGTTTTATGTATGGCCCTCTGGACATGGTTACCCTTACAGGAGAAAAGGTAGCTCCACTATCCAAATATAGAAGTTATAATGATGATTAGTGTCACATGGGATCTGTGACAGACACAAGTGTGAGCACTTGTCATTTTCTTATCTTGTAGATTGACATTCACATCATGACCCAACCTCCATCTGGAGAATGGGTTTATTTTGACACTGAGCTTACCAACAGTAGTGGACGTATCTCTTATGTAATACCCGAGTCCAAGAGACTGGGCATAGGTGTGTACCCTGTCAAAATGGTGGTGAGGTAGGTGTTCACTTTCTATTCTGTTACTTGTTAACAGTCATATTCTTGACTCTCTACTTCTTTGGCTTTTGTGACAGGGGGGACCACACATTTGCAGACAGCTATCTCACCATCATCCCACGGGGAACAGAGTTTGTCGTATTCAGTATTGATGGATCATTTGCTGCCAGTGTTTCTATAATGGGTAGTGACCCAAAGGTTCGGGCTGGGGCAGTGGATGTCGTGAGGTAAGATGCAAATCAATCTGCAATTATAATCAATATCGGCATGAAGCGATACATGATGCTTATTGTCATAATCGTAGTTGTTCATCTGTTTTATAACAGGCACTCAAACTGAGAAGTCCCTTACATATTTCTTCTTGAAATATTTTAAAAAGCAACCCATACATTACATTGTTCAAAGTAACTGGAAAGACAACTGTATAGGTTATTTTTAAAGTCAATGAGGAGTCGTAATCTTACCTTCCTGAAGGGCTTTGACTGCTAACTGCCAGTTAGCAGTCAAAGCCCATCCTAATCCATTTACTTTTGTCTTTAAAAAGAAACCAAACTGTTCAAATAAGTTTAAAGAAGACATAATCAATACCTATGGATTAATAATTACAATATCTTGTTTTGCAGGTACTGGCAGGATTTGGGATATCTGATAGTATATGTCACAGGACGTCCTGATATGCAGAAGCAGAGAGTTGTAGCCTGGCTTTCTCAGCATAACTTTCCTCATGGGATTGTATCTTTTTGTGATGGACTGGTTCATGACCCTCTTCGACACAAAGCCAACTTTCTCAAGTCACTGATCACTGAAGTAAGAAAGGACTTTTCATGTTTTATTTATAAATGTAAATTTGTCTAACATTACTAAGTAACATTTCTCTTTTTGCCCAGGCTCACATGAGGACCTTTGCAGCGTACGGTTCCACCAAGGACATCTCTGTGTACTCTTCTCTTGGGGTCCCACCATCCCACATCTACATAGTCGGACGACCAACAAAGAAAATGCAGCACCAGTGTCAGGTGTGGTTCTCAAACTGTATGTGAAGTTCACTCTAATATTTCTTAGTGACTTAATATCTTCTTTTGCAGTTTATTTCTGATGGCTACGCCTCTCACCTGTCTCAGCTAGAGTACAATCAGAGGTCTCGACCTGCCAAGTCAGCTAGTACACGCATGGTCCTCCGCAAAGGCAGCTTTGGCTTGAATGCAGCTGGTGGGGACTTTCTGCGTAAACGAAACCACATATTTCGCACCATTTCTTCACAGCCTGGCGGAACAGGGCCAGGCTCACCCAGCCAGCTGGGCCGCACTGAGAGGACTCAGAGCCAATGTGAGGTGGAGCGAGAGCGAGGGGTCAGCACCGCCACTCAAAGGAGCATGAGCATCGCAGCGGGATGTTGGGGACGCAGTGGCAGCACCAAGGAGGGCAGCGGGGGTCTGCTGGGTCCCAAATAAGGGTTAAGCTGCGATAGTGTTCCACCATGATCCCTGAACAAGAAAGAAAGCTGAATTATGTTCTCAGAAGATTAAAGGGAAGATTAATAAATCATCGAGAGTGAGTGGATATGTGAGAACAAGAAAAGACATTTCTGTAGCATGACTCTTTTTAAGAACACACATCTAAAGGATTCATTTCCCATTTATTGTAAGCCTTAAACCAGTCTCATACAATGGGAACTCCAGTTTCTGCACACAGATACTATCATGAACTCAGGACATCAGCAGAGCTACTTTTATGAACACTCACAGTGTGTTTAGGGCCAAATCTTTCAGAAGCCAATACTTACATTTTCTGCCTCCAGATTGTTGTTTTTGAGAAAGCCCTCAAAAACCTTTAAAAAACAGATCGAACTCAGACATTTTTAAATTAATGCAGTTTGACTGATAAGGCACTTTTCTATCAAATTACAACAAATTTATTACAAAGTTAGTATACTGTTTGCATTTATGAATAGTGAAGTATTTCAATTTGGTCACATGACTTCTTTTGTGGAGTCTGAACACACAAATAGTGATGCAAAAGTTCTTGTTTACACATTGTAGGTTGTTTGATTGACATAGTATGGCCAATTGAATCTGTTACATGGGCAAACAATAGGCATTCCTATAGCAAGAAGTAGAATTACACTTAAATCAATTCATTATTCATTACTGCATCCCATTTCCAAAGATTGCCTATATACTATATATTTAAAGCAGTCAGTTCAAATGTCTGTGCTTGAGTCATGATACAGGTGCTTGTGCCTGTTTCAGTGAACACTGGGATATCAACATGATGTTTGCCTCTAGGTCCTAATGGCCTTTATATTCAGATGGACAGGAAACAACTCAGACTCTGTACAGTCCACTGCAGTGATCCCTTTACATTCATGCTTGCAATACCTCTGATCCGTCCAGTGGTGGGTTTTTGTTCTCCAGGTGGTGCTGCTGGGAGACAGCCCCTGACTTTTTGCTCTTGAGACAAAAAGGACACAGATATATTCTCAAAGCCAACTTGGAAATGACAGCGGTGGGGCCTTTGCATAGACTTCCTTTACAGATACAGAAGCGTTTTTAATTTTTGACCAAATGATTGAGAGGCCAGTTGCTGCAGTGCTCACTTTTGAAGTATAAGTGAATGGGTACTTTGCAGAAAAGGTAGCCAGTGTGTGATGTTTTTCTTTTCTGTATTGCCAGATGAAGAGGCCATCTCACATTTTCAACCTCAAGTCTGTGTACAAGGTGTAACAACCGTGTGATAAGGGTTTGTGGAACTTCTGTTTAATTGTTTTACAATAATTTCCCAAGATATAAGATGGAAATCAGTTTCCACCCTTACTGGACAATCCAAAAACCAAATGCATATTTTATTACTGTAGGCTCAACTTTGTAACCTCATTGATATTTTTTGCACTAGTTTACAGTAAAGCGATACTGTAGTTATTACCATTTCATGTTGCTACACTTAACATATTTGTAGTGCATGGCAATTATTATATTTCAGGGTTATTTTTTTTGCAGAAATTCAGAAATGTACATTATGTGAGGGCATGAAAATGAGGTAAATGTGCCAAAAAAGTACACTTGTAGAAGTTAATCTGTGTTTAACCTTGCAAGAGGGGCTCAAAAATGAGAATATTTTAATAAATAAATTTATAATTCATGCAATTTTAAAGAAAAAACGGTCAAGTCAAGCCAAGATTGAGCATGTTGCTGCAGTCATGTCCAAAAGACTTGAATGAGCATATGTCAGTAGACATTTCTATTGTTTTTGTTGTGCTCTTAAAGTAAGGTTCTGAATGCAAAGACACTGAGCTCCTCTGATTAAGATGAATGTTTGTCAATTTGATGTTGTTCATGAGAAGTGGACATTTGTTGTACATAATGTAAAAATGTACCATTTATTTGTATATACGTATGACTAACATGGCTATTTATTTACCTAAGACCATGATGATACTATGACAATATCAGGTAAATTATATTTGAATTATGTAGCATTTTATTCATTACTGGCAGTAATTAAATCTATGGACCAACTATTTATGTTTTTATTATTATTTTACCAGCAGTTCATATTACAGCAATGCAAAACCACAGGACTGAAGCGATCAAGTGCAGACTTGGCCTGGTGGCGTCTCTTGCTTGTTTTTATGTTCCTTAGGCACACTGCGGAACATTCCAGACAAATCTATCACATCTCCATGAAAACAAGCAAGTGGTAAATAGTGCACCTTTAAAGTTGTATCAGACCTAATGATAATGTGTGGTAAGTGAAATCAAACAGCACTACAGCTCCTGTTGACCAGTTGTTCTTTGTATTCCAGCATTTAATCTCATGGCCTATAGTATGTGCATATATTGTGTATTTATGTGTGCTTCTACTGATGTCAGTATCAGTAAATAAACTATACTCTGAGCAGTAAGCATTATGGATTTGCAAGCTTAACTGCAACTCTTAAAGATGTTCACTTCATTTAGGCCATTCAATTTTTATAATTTTAATGAGTAGCCTAATTATTCATTTATTTATTTTACCAATATTTATTTATTACATTATCAACAAGATCAGCATGACCAACTTAAGATATGAAGGGGCCAAGTATATGCTAGCCTATACTGTACTACACTGTAATAAAATATTAGTATTAGCTGACTAATTACTAAAAACATTTGTTTTATTGACCTCAACCTCAGATAAAGCACTGAGGTTTTTTGAACAGATGAAGCTCTCTTTGCCTTTGCTGTGTGAAATAAACTATTTGATGGTAATATACTAGTAATGTATTGGCAACAGTTTTACTGAGAGGTGCATGTTAAAGACTTCAATGGAAAAACACAAAAATGGGACACAATAACAATGCATTACTTTTTATTATGACAAATTAGTTCACTTCATTTCACTTTAATCATCAATGATTCAAGTTTCCATTAAACTCTCAGGCTTGACTGCAGTGCCCCTCATAGGTCAACCGTACAATGCTTTTTTCCAAAGTTTAGTTTATAATTGTCAAATTTTTCTAACTTTACACAGACACAAACAACTTGTTTTGGTTCATTTTACACAAAAAGACCACATGCCCAAATCATGCCCATGTACAAAGGTTATAGGCAAGATTAAATTAAACCGATTCAAAATTTGACAAAAAATTACAACAGCTCTCTCAATAATGCAAATTTGTACTTGGAAAATTGTGCAGGGATTATTAACTTAAGCACTTGAACATAAAAGTTGTAACCAATTTTTTTTTGTTGTTGCTAAATTTAAGACTGTTAAAAAGAAAGAAACTGTACAGCAAAATTACAAACAGCGGCATTAGGATTTGATCATAACATCTGAGAAATCTCAGCTCTTTGATGACAACAACGCTGTCATGCCCTCTCTGAGGACAACTTACTCTATAAAGATATTCCATACCATAACATTTCATACAGTGTTTGTGTTTTGTCTATAGTGCACGAGGCCTCTTTGGGGTGATCTGTTTGCTAGCCTGCTCCTCCTCCTGTAGTGCACAGCGAAAAGACTTTACTTTGTCTAAAACAAAACAGAATTACAGATTATGCTCTGCAAGTATCAATGTAAAAAACAAGAGTCTTGATTACTGTATTTTACCTCTCAGCTCAGTGAGAATGTCTATCTTCTGATCCAGAATTTGCTCAAGTTGAGTTGCATATGATTCAACATCATAGTCTACCTCCTTTGTCATTTCTAAAAGTACTTTTTCATCTTCTAACCAACGAATCGACTTCTGTGAATAGATTTAAGATTTATAAATCCATGCAGCTCAGATTTACACAGATAAAATGGATGTCACTTGAATTGTTTACCTGAAACACAGCTCTGTGGTCCTCAAGAACCTGCTCTTCCATCTCCACAAGCTGAGACACAGCCTCGTGGAAAGTGAAGAGCTGTGGGGAAACTTCCTCTTCCTAAAACATCACAAAACAGAGTTCAATGTACATTATATGGTCCCACACAAATCCTTCTCACTAGTAATTATACAAGTGAAAAATACTACATTTTATTAGGTCTCTTAAAGATACTTGTTTAGATTTTTTAAAGTGCTCATAGCATTGGCATTTCATGTTTTGTGAAAATAAGTTTTGTAAAAGTGAGTGGACTTTAAATATCTGAATTTGCAATGTTAACATGATTGTGTGAAACAATCCATCCATCCATTTTCGTCCGCTTATCCGGGGCCGGGTCACGGGGGCAGCAGCCTAAGCAGGGACTCCCAGACTTCCTTCACCCCAGACACGTCCTCCAGCTCCTCCGGGGGGACCCCGAGGCGTTCCCAGGCCAGCCGAGCGACATAGTCCCTCCAGCGTGTCCTGGGTCTTCCCCGGGGCCTCCTCCCGGTGGGACATACCCGGAACACCTCCCGAGGGAGGCGCCCAGGAGGCATCCGGAACAGATGCCCGAGCCACCTCAACTGGCTCCTCTCGACGTGGAGGAGCAGCGGCTCTACTCCGAGCTCCTCCCGTGTGACTGAGCTCCTCACCCTATCTCTAAGGGAGCGCCCAGCCACCCTGCGAAGGAAACCCATTTCAAGCGCTTGTATCCGTGATCTCGTCCTTTCGGTCACTACCCAGAGCTCATGACCATAGGTGAGAGTAGGAACGAAGACTGACCGGTAAATTGAGAGCTTCGCCTTTCGGCTCAGCTCCCTCTTCACCACAACGGTCCGATACAGCGACCGCATCACTGCCGAAGCTGCACCGATCCGCCTGTCAATCTCACGTTCCGTCCTTCCCTCACTCGTGAACAAGACCCGAGATACTTGAACTCCTCCACTTGAGGCAGGGACTCTCCACCCACCCGGAGAGGGCAAGCCACCTTTTTCCGGTCGAGAACCATGGCCTCAGACTTAGAAGAGCTGATCTTCATCCCAGCCGCTTCACACTCGGCTGCAAACCGCCCCAGTGCACATTGCAGGTCCTGGTTCGATGAAGCCAACAGGACAACATCATCCGCAAACAGCAGAGATGAGATCCTGTGGTCCCCAAACCGGACCCCCTCTGGCCCCTGACTGCGCCTAGAAATTCTGTCCATAAACACAATGAACAGAACCGGTGACAAAGGGGAGCCCTGGCGGAGTCCAACATGCACCGGGAACAGGTCTGACTTACTGCCGGCAATGCGAACACAGCTCCTGCTCCGGTCATACAGGGACCGGACAGCCCTTAGCAAAGGGCCCCGGACCCCATACTCCCGGAGCACCCCCCACAGGACACCACGAGGGACACGGTCGAATGCCTTCTCCAAGTCCACAAAGCACATGTGGACTGGTTGGGCAAACTCCCATGAACCCTCGAGCACCCTATGGAGAGTGTAGAGCTGGTCCAGTGTTCCACGGCCAGGACGAAAACCACATTGCTCCTCCTGGATCTGAGGTTCGACTATCGGCCGGATTCTCCTCTCCAGTACCCTGGCATAGACCTTACCGGGAAGGCTGAGGAGTGTGATCCCCCTATAGTTGGAACACACCCTCCGGTCCCCCCTTATACGTTTGCCATACTTACACTTCTGTCAACCAAGACAGCCCCACAACATCAGAGACAGGTACTCAGGACATCTCATCCAACCCCGGAGCCTTGCACCAAGGAGCTTCAACCACCTCAGTGACTTCAGTCAGGGTGATGGACTCCGCCTCCGAGTCCCCAGCCTCGGCCTCCTCCTCGGAAGACTGACGGTGGGATTGAGGAGATCCTCAAAGTATTCTCCACCGCCGGACAACGTCCCCAGTCGAGGTCAACAGCTCTCCCCCTGCACTGTAAACAGTGTTGGCGAAGAACTGCTTCCCCCTCCTGAGCCCGGACGGTGCCAGAATCTCTTTGAGGCCTCCATAGTCCTCTCCATGGCCTCTCCGAACCCCTCCCAGCTCTGAGTTTTTGCCTCCGCAACCGCACGGGCTGCAGCACGCTGGCCCGCCGGTACCCGTCAGCTGCTTCAGGAGTCCCCCGAGCCAGCAAGGCCCGATAGGACCCTTCTTCAGCTTGACGGCATCCCTTACTTCCAGTGTCCACCACCGGGCTCGGGGATTGCCGCCGCGACAGGCACCACAGACCTGCCCACAGCTCCGAGCAGCCGCATCAACAATAGAGGCAGAGAATGAAGCACTCGGACTCCATATCAGTCCCCCGGAATCCGGGAGAAGTCAGGTGCGAGTTGAAAGTCCCTCTGACAGAGGGCTCCGCCAGACGTTCCCAACAGACCCTTACACGTTGTGCCAGGTCTTTTCACAACCAGGTTGTCAGTTGACAGCTCAGTCTCTTCAAGTGTCCAAGGTTTTAACAAAACACCGCTTTCAGATCAGGGAGGCCGTAATACCCCTCTCCAAGTGTCATGTCGTTGCCCATGTGGGCGTTGAAGTAGTAGAACAACGGAGTACTGTCTAGTATAAGGACTAAGAAGGCCGGGTACTCAGCACTGCTGTTCAGCCCGTAGGCCGACACCACAGTGAGAGACCTGTCCCCGACCCGAAGGCGCAGGGACGCGACCCTCTCGTTCACCGGGGTGAACTCCAACACACAGTGGCTGAGCTGTGGGGCAATGAGCAGGCCCGCCGCCGCTCCCCGCGGCCATGCCAGAGAAATGGAGAGTCAGCCCCTCTCAAGGAGAGACTATATCTAGTCGGTAACGCTCAACCTCCCGCCAAGCTCAGGCTCCTTCCCCCCAGCGAGGTGACATTCCATGTCCCCAGAGCTAGTCTCCATGTCCGGAGATCCGGTCGTCGAGGCCCCGCCGTCGACTGCCGCCCAGATCTCTCTGCACCGGCCCATATGGCTCCTCCGTGGTGGGCCCACGTGAGGACGGCCCCACGTCGCTCCGTGGGGGAAGGCCCGGCCACCAGGCGCTCGCTGACGAGCACCCACCCCAGGCCTGGCTCCAGGGTGAGGCCCCGGTGATGCAATCCGGGCGACGTAACTGGCCTCTGTGTGTAACTCATCATGTGGGGCTTCTGAACCGTTCTCCGTCTGACCCGTCCCCCGGACCTGTTTACCCTACAGGGGCATGAAGCACAACATAGATCACACTCAAACCCCTCCACCACGATAAGGTGACAATTAAAGGAGGGGTGTGAAACTAACAACATCACAGCTGCTACCTGACAAATGCATGTCTATGAACAGTTATACTTACATTCTGTTCACAGAGCAACTTCAGATCATCTCTCTGTGGGGAGCTGCCAACTCCCCACTGGGCCTCAAGCACCTCCAGCTGGTTAATGTGTCCAGCCTGATGACAGTCCATCGCTGCCAGAGGATCCACTGTTAGATCCTGGACCCTGAACATAAACAGTGCAGAGGTCACATGTTCTTCAGGTCTATGTTGTGTTTTTAAAAGGTTTACTAGTATAACTGTTTTATATATATATAGTTAATCAGTATAGGTCATACTCATAAGTAGGTGACAACTCAGATCGCCCTCCTCCCCCGCTCTGTGTGAAAGGGATATCTGAAGGGTTTATGCCAAACTCTTTGACCCTGCAAACACAGTGATTTTAAATGAGACACAAGACACAACACAAGGACAATAAGGTGTAATTAAACCCCACACACCTGTTGGCATATCTCAAAGTGTTTAAAGTGTTTTCACAAGATGCCATTCCAGGGGAGATTGTAGCAATCTGAAAAAATAAAAACATTCAAGCCCCTTGACCAAACTTAAGGTATGAAGCTGTGTTGCCCTTAAGACAATTGTACCTTTAATAGTGTTCCTTTAATAAATAAGTTAATTACTTTCATGTTTAAAAATGTATAAAAAAAATAGCGGAATGGGTTCACTTCCGGTGTGCATTTTCTGGTTTCCATAGATGGAAACCAGAAAATAGACATTCTGTATGTGGGATCTGTCAGGCTGGTCTCATCAACCGTAATCCACCTTGGAGCTCAAAGCAGGCAATACTGTGAGTTACTTAATGTGTTTATAAGTCCCTAAACATTTATATTTTTGTATTATTAAGTGAATATATAAAGTTTTAAATAAGATGAATGCACTTTGTTTTGGTATTACATTTGGCTCAGATTCTAAGAGCAACGTTGTTGTCTGTTACACCATCTGAAGAGGAAAATTAAACTTCCAAAACGTTTCCTGTGGTTCTTCTTCAATGGTTTAACTAAGTGTCTCATCAAGGACATAACAGAAGTTAAATGGTGACCACTGGTTTTTGCCATACCATGCAAGTTCTAGAGTTTTCTCCAATGAAGGAATCTCTCAGTACTTGAGTCAATTTGCTTGCTCTAAATGGAGTGTGGGGTTTGTTTCGTCCTAGAGCCCGAATACATTCCTGAAAAAGATAAATCAAAAGGATAACAAACATATCAGATAATATGGTAAAGGATTGGGCAGCATACCTTCAGAGCCAACAGACTCTTGTTGATCTCAGCTCCTTCGAGACGAGTCTGGCGGTCTGCACTGGATGTGTCAGCTCCCCTCTCGTTTCCAGCCAGATCGATAAGAGAAAACTTTCCGTGCATCTTTCCTCGTCTGCGCAAAATGATCTGGAAAACGGCATGGCTCCTGGAGGAATGGGCGTTTGCTGATGTCTTCCCAGAAGTCCTTGGGAAAATCATATGATGAATTATTTCCCACAGCCAATAAAGGAATCATATACTACAGCTGAGCCAAAGGATACCTGCAGCTGTTTCCGACTTCGATTAGTTTAAGGACATCTTCTGTGCATTTGACCTCTCTCTCCTGTAGGCCCACCACCTGGACTTGCTGCTTCCTATCTTCCAATACCCGCAGCTTGGCCTTATGATTCAGCAAGTCAAACACCTTAAAGACAAAAGCAGCAGCTGTTTATTAAAACAACATATAAATATGGGTATGTATGAAGTATGCATACCAACCTTGCCACTGTAGATTTCAAAAAAAAGTGGCAAAGACCTGGAGATCTAACTTTTTGTAGTTTGGCTTTTTCAACATGAGAAAGACATCTCTGGCTGAAAAAAATATACGTACATAATATAATGCATACATATATATGTGTACCGGTATATATAAAAATATACACACATGCATACATAAGCTAAAACAAAATTAAATGATTAAATAACTTACCTGACAGAGCGTAGATTCCTTTAGAGCAGTCCTGGTTCTTCCCTGAAAAGTCTCCTCCCATGGTCTGAAACATAGTCATTCCTAAGTAATGTCATTTCACAACATATCGGAATCAGAAACATTACTTACATGTGTTTTTCCACTTCCAGTTTGTCCGTAAGCAAAGCAAGTTGCCATTCCTCTTTCAAAAATGGTCTCAACCAAAGGCTGGGCTGTAAATCTGGCAACACAGTTGATGTTGTCTGAAGTCATGATTTTTTTAAATGCTCAAAGGGACAATAAAACCCATACCTGTAAACCATTTCATTTGTGGAGTTCTCATCAAAAGCGTAGTCAAAGCGAAATGTTTGATTCTCCAAGTAGCGTGTCAGGTCAACTTTTTGCTTCGGTTCATGAACCATAACAACATCTTTACTTGGGATAGTGATGACATCTAAGTCCTTCATTGATAGCTCTAAAAGGGACAGTTTACAGAAAACTGATACATTCACTATATAAATCAAAAAAGCCAATAATAGAGAACCTACCTTTTTTATTCAATGGTCGAGCGCGCACACACACACATATTCTGTGCTCCTCTATCTGCAGGATACAATTTTTGTTGTAAACTTCAATAGTTAATAATAGAATATAATACTACAATAGTAAATAAACATGAACATTTAAATACTGTACAGTCCCTGACAAAAGTCTTGTCGCTTATCCATTTTGTAGAAACAAAAGCTTATAACTTGACTTTAAATTAATCGATTGGTTTTAGAAATGTCTCATATGAAAGCTAAAACCCTCCCAAATTATGCTCAATAAACTAAAATAAATTTGCTTCACTGAAAAAAGATTGATCATTTAATGAACACAGAAAGGTCAGATTTTGGCAAGACAAAAGTTTTGTCGCCTACAGAAAATTGAACAAATAATTTACTTCAAATACAAAAATATGTTGCATAACGTCAGTGAATGAAGTAGTGGTGCTGTGAGATCCATATTTAATATCTTGTATGACTTCCATGAGCTTCAAGGACTACATCCATGCGGTTCCACAATGATTCATACAATTTGTTGATGAAGTCATCAGGAATAGCAAAGAAAGCGTCTTACATGCCTCCCAGAGTTCATCAAGATTCTTTGGTTTTGCCTTCCATGCTTCCTCTTTCATTCTACCCCAGACATGCTCAATGATGTTCATGTCTGGTGACTGGGCTGGCCAGTCCTGGAGCACCTTGATCTTCTTCGCCTTGAGAAACTTTGATGTTGAGATAGAATTATGCGATGGAGCACCATCCTGCTGCAAAATTTGACCCCTTTTATGGTTGGGAATGTAAGAGGAGCTAATACTTCTTGATATTTTAGGCTATTGATATTGCCTTCCACCCTGCAAATGTCTCGCACACTCCCATAATGGATGTAACCCCAGGCCATGATTTTTCCGCCACCAAACTTAACTGTTTTCTGGGTGAATCTTGGATCCATGCGGGCTCCAGTAGGTCTCCTGCAATATTTGTGGCAGCTGTGATGTAATTCAACCGAGGATTCATCTGAGAAATCCACCTTCTGCCACTTTTCCAGTGTCCATCCTTTTAGCAGGCTGTGGGCCTTGGCAAATGCCACACAGTTTTTTTTAATTGCCTTTTGTTTAGTGCTGGTTTCTGTGCACTGATTCGACCATGGAGGCCATTTTGACACAGAATTCTACAAACTGTTCAGGTTGACACAGGGACTTGAGGTGACCAGGCCTGGTGGAGTCTGCTGCAGTGGAAAAGGGGCTGGCAGTGGATTTTCGAATCAACAAACGGTCCTCCCGAGCAGTTGTCTTGCGGGGTCTGCCGGACCTGGGCTTGTCAAAAACATCTCCAGTCATTTCAGATCTTTTTCTTATTCTTTGTACTTGACGCTGAGACACATTGAAGGTGTCACCACCTCAGCAAGTGGATCTGGTCTTCAGCCTCTTGATAATTAATGCTTTGGTCTCAGGGTGGATCTTAAGCATGTTGTCAGAGGTCAAGTTGCAGTTGATGTGAAGGTCTGGTGTGCTGGGGTTCTTTTTATACACACCCACTAACTGATTGATCAGTAACTGATCACAGGTGAGACTGTAATCTAGGATTGGGTGCATCATATGACAAGGCGACAAGACTTTTGTCTTGCCAAAATCTGACCTTTCTGTGTTCATTAAATTATCAATCTTTTTTCAGTGAAGCAAATTTTTTTTAATATATTGAGCATAATTTGGGAGGGTTTTAGCTTTCATATGAGACATTTCTAAAACCAATCGATTAATTTAAAGTCAAGTTATAAGCTTTTGTTTCTACAAAATGGATAAGCGACAAGACTTTTGTCAGGGACTGTATGTTAATATGACTTACTAGATCATTGGAGGTTAGGGGCCTGTAGTCCAGACTGGCTCTGAAGTCTCTGATCATGCACATAATTTCATAGTTGGGTAAATTGACATCTACTTCCTGGAAAATAAAGTGTTAAATAATTTGAACCACACAACAAAGGAAAGTTGACATTCCTCAAACTCATACTTGGGCCCTCTTTTCTCTGAGTTCCTGTTGCTGAAGTCGTCTCTTCTCACGCTTTTCTTGAAGTTTTTCAACCTCTTTTACACAATTTGATTTCCTCCGAAGCTGTAGAGGATAAGCCAGCAAATGAGACAAGCATCATGAAAACAATATGAAACATGAGAGCAGATTCTTTCTAATGCAACTTTATATACAATTAAGGCTATAAGTGTAGTCTTTAAAAACTAGACAATATACATAATTGTTTTTATTGCATACAAGAACCACTATATTTCAGTTGAAAGTATGTCTGTTACCATTTTGCTGCTGTATTAGTGTTTGATTGAAGGCGGATTGTGGCGCTATCGCTGGTGGTGGAGGCTCTGAAACTTGGCTGTGTTGACTTGGTCGGGCCCGGGTTGTTCCCACAGCCGCAGCTGAGGGGAAACACAATAAATTTATGACCATACAGCTAAATAATACCATTGAAAGTCCAATGAGGTTCATTTGGTCTTCCAATAATTTATGTTATTAGGTTCTTTTTTCAGACCAAGAGTTTGTTTTCATACCTGACAGTTTCAACTGCTCACTAGCGGTCTTCCTCAGAGTGGTCAAGTGATGTTGCTTTGACGTGTCCGGACAGCTGATTTATACAGGTTTTGGCGCTGTCTTCCTACCTTCCTTTGCTGTTTCCTTTTCGCATTCTGTCCTGTGTTCCTTTTTTCGTGTATTGAATGCGCTCCCTGTTTCCCCAATGTATGTTTTATTGCAGGACATGCAGGGTATTTCGTATATGACATTACATTTATACTCCGGTTCTATTTTATCTTTTGGGTAGACGAGCAATTGCCTGAGTTTTTTGTATGGTTTCACTGGTGTGTTGATATTGTGTTTTCCCATTGCCCTTTGCACTTTTTCTGTTAAGCTCCTTATGTACAGTAATGTTACCATATCTGTCCTCTTTTTTTCAATAGACAGTACTGGAAACTACTCTGAGGAAGACCACTGCTGAGCAGCCAAAACTGTCAAGTTTGGTCTGAAAAAAGAACCTAATAACATAAAATATCACTGAAAAGTAAAACAAAAATCCAGCCATAAATACCATAGTTAGCATAGCAAAACCTACCTCTGTTCTCCCGAGGCATGTTTTCAGCTTTAGGTATTGCTGTAACTCGTCTTGTCTGAAGAATAAAACAAGTTCATGTCATGCAGTTTGTTGCAATTTTTCAATTGCTTATTTCATTTTTTAAAACTTTTTTATAAATCTGTCAAATCTTTTTGCACTTGTGCACAAAACAATTCAAAATGTTTGAAAACACATAAAATACAAACACAGTCATCAGATTTATAAACTTATCTAATCATCATCCAGAGAATGGTCTGACAATGCTACCAAACTTTTAGAGGTGTAATGTGAGGGAGTCAGAGGCCTGTAGGACCAGTATCACACTGTTTCTGCATGATTTACAAATCCATGCGTTTTAGTAACTGGTATCTACAGTAAACTGTGTCTGACTTGGTCCTCAAAGTCTCTCAATGAAAGCATGGTTCACACAGGTTTTCACTACAGAAGTATTTTATGTAGTATTTCTAGAGCTTCTGTCTTTACAATCTAGTCATGTATTAATCTGCATGTTCAGTTTTTCTTTAGTCTTCAGTTTACTGGACTTTGGTAACAGTGTGCAGTATTTAAGTACACAGACCACTGCAAACAGCGTTTAAATAATTGGCCCTCGCCACTAAACAAAGTTAGGGGCGAGGGGTATTGTTCTTCGTCGGTTTCTTTTTTTTTTATTCCCTTTTCCGACCAAACGATCGCATTTTTGACCCCCTGAACATGGACGAAAAGTCCCCAAACCGGGGTCCAGATCGATCGGCCCGGCGAAAAATTCGATAAAATGGGCATCGCGACAATGACCCGAGTGACCCGACTCAACAGCGCCACCTAGAATTCGACCCCTATGGGACTAGGGACAAACAAAGTTTGTCGCAGGGAAACGAAATTCGGGACAGTGATAAAGAACAATGAGACAAGCCAAAAGATGAATTGGAGCATGACCCTATGACGAACAGGAAGTCGGCCATATTGGATCAAACATTTGGCGCCGTTTTGACTTGGGTGTCTACAAAAAGATTCAAGTCCCCGGGGTTTGGTCCAAATGAGCTCAGATTTGACATGTCACATCTACAGACATAAACTCACAGAATTTTTCAACTTTTTTTGGAATACTCCTTACGGTTCGCCCGTAGCACGCCGCCGAAAAACGCCTTCATTTCCTGTTCTTTCGGTGACCTGTCACGGCCACAGGCATTGTCCTAGAGAACTCAAATTCAAATCACAATTGCGTGATCCAGGCCTGAATGTGATGAAATATGAAATTTAATAAAAGTGAACTCTATAGCGCCCCCTAGCATAGACGTGAAACATCAACATTATCGGATTTGGACCAAATTCGAGAATTAAATTCTATGCATGTTTACAAGCAAAAAAGTCATTTTTTACGGTTTGGTCAGCAGGGGCGCAAAGACTACCCCCCAAAAAATAGTTAAAAAATAATTACACACACAGGCTTAGTCCGATCGTGCTGAAATTTGAATCACTCATGCCTGATTTCGACCTGATTATAATACACTATAAAACATATGAAATGTGAACACTATAGCGCCCCCTAGCATTGACATGAAACGTCAACATTGTCGGATTTGTACCAAAGTCGGGGATTAAATTCTATGCATGATTGTAAACAAAAACAGTATATTACGGATATTGGGCATTTTTCATGGTTGGCCAGTAGGGGCGCAATGACTCCTCTGAAACATTTAAAGGTGCATTATTTAATGTGTCTAATGGACGAGCTGTCGACCTGGGCGGATGTAGGGAAGAGAGGGTGGCGTGCCGGGGCGGTCGCGAGTCCCCGGAGGTCGCGTGGGGGGGGCGGTGCGCGCCCGGGGCGAGGGCCACCATCGCCGCGCGCGGCTTTAATTAATTGTTGTGTTTTAGGTTCCGCAAAAAGTGTTATGCAGTTTTGAGTGATAAATGAATGAAAATAGTTATAGTATTTGCTCATTCTGTGACAATTTTTGAAAATTTGTGCCAANACGCGGCGGAGATCAGATGACACGACTACAAAGTCGATCATCGACCTCCGGCCTAGGGTGTCCTGGTGCCACGTGCACTTATGGACACCCTAGTGCTGGAACATGGTGTTCGTTATGGACAAACCGTGACTAGCACAGAAGTCCAATAACAAAACACCGCTCGGGTTCAGATCAGGGAGGCCGTTCCTCCCAATCACCCCTCTCCAAGTGTCACTGTCGTTGCCCATGTGGGCGTTGAAGTCCCCCAGTAGAACAACGGAGTCCCCGGTCGGTGCACTGTCTAGTACCCCTCCCAAGGACTCCAAGAAGGCCGGGTACTCAGCACTGCTGTTCAGCCCGTAGGCCGACACCACAGTGAGAGACCTGTCCCCGACCCGAAGGCGCAGGGACGCGACCCTCTCGTTCACCGGGGTGAACTCCAACACACAGTGGCTGAGCTGTGGGGCAATGAGCAGGCCCACACCAGCCCGCCGCCGCTCCCCGCGGCCAATGCCAGAGAAATGGAGAGTCCAGCCCCTCTCAAGGAGAGACTATATCTAGTCGGTAACGCTCAACCTCCCGCACAAGCTCAGGCTCCTTCCCCCCCAGCGAGGTGACATTCCATGTCCCCAGAGCTAGTCTCCATGTCCGGAGATCCGGTCGTCGAGGCCCCCGCCGTCGACTGCCGCCCAGATCTCTCTGCACCGGCCCCATATGGCTCCTCCGTGGTGGGCCCACGTGAGGACGGCCCCACGTCGCTCCGTGGGGGAAGGCCCGGCCACCAGGCGCTCGCTGACGAGCACCCACCCCAGGCCTGGCTCCAGGGTGAGGCCCCGGTGATGTCAATCCGGGCGACGTAACTGGCCTCTGTGTGTAACTCATCATGTGGGGCTTCTGAACCGTTCTCCGTCTGACCCGTCCCCCGGGACCTGTTTGCCTTGGGTGACCCTACCAGGGGCATGAAGCCCCCGACAACATAGCTCCCGGGATCATTCGGGCACTCAAACCCCTCCACCACGATAAGGTGACGGTTCAAGGAGGGGCGACGGTTAAAGGAGGGGTGTGAAACTATCCAGTATATTTAAAAAAAGGAATAAGTACAAAATCAATGTAGCTATACCCCTAGCCTTGATCACAGCTGCTACCTGACAAATGCATGTCTATGAACAGTTATACTTACATTCTGTTCACAGAGCAACTTCAGATCATCTCTCTGTGGGGAGCTGCCAACTCCCCACTGGGCCTCAAGCACCTCCAGCTGGTTAATGTGTCCAGCCTGATGACAGTCCATCGCTGCCAGAGGATCCACTGTTAGATCCTGGACCCTGAACATAAACAGTGCAGAGGTCACATGTTCTTCAGGTCTATGTTGTGTTTTTAAAAGGTTTACTAGTATAACTGTTTTACATATATATATAGTTAATCAGTATAGGTCATACTCATAAGTAGGTGACAACTCAGATCGCCCTCCTCCCCCGCTCTGTGTGAAAGGGATATCTGAAGGGCTTATGCCAAACTCTTTGACCCTGCAAACACAGTGATTTTAAATGAGACACAAGACACAACACAAGGACAATAAGGTGTAATTAAACCCCACACACCTGTTGGCATATCTCAAAGTGTTTTAAAGTGTTTTCACAAGATGCCATTCCAGGGGAGATTGTAGCAATCTGAAAAAATAAAAAACATTCAAGCCCCTTGACCAAACTTAAGGTATGAAGCTGTGTTGCCCTTAAGACAATTGTACCTTTAATAGTGTTCCTTTAATAAATAAGTTAATTACTTTCATGTTTAAAAATGTATAAAAAAAATAGCGGAATGGGTTCACTTCCGGTGTGCATTTTCTGGTTTCCATAGATGGAAACCAGAAAATAGACATTCTGTATGTGGGATCTGTCAGGCTGGTCTCATCAACCGTAATCCACCTTGGAGCTCAAAGCAGGCAATACTGTGAGTTACTTAATGTGTTTATAAGTCCCTAAACATTTATATTTTTGTATTATTAAGTGAATATATAAAGTTTTTAAATAAGATGAATGCACTTTGTTTTGGTATTACATTTGGCTCAGATTCTAAGAGCAACGTTGTTGTCTGTTACACCATCTTGAAGAGGAAAATTAAACTTCCAAAACGTTTCCTGTGGTTCTTCTTCAATGGTTTAACTAAGTGTCTCATCAAGGACATAACAGAAGTTAAATGGTGACCACTGGTTTTTGCCATACCATGCAAGTTCTAGAGTTTTCTCCAATGAAGGAATCTCTCAGTACTTGAGTCAATTTGCTTGCTCTAAATGGAGTGTGGGGTTTGTTTCGTCCTAGAGCCCGAATACATTCCTGAAAAAGATAAATCAAAAAGGATAACAAACATATCAGATAATATGGTAAAGGATTGGGCAGCATACCTTCAGAGCCAACAGACTCTTGTTGATCTCAGCTCCTTCGAGACGAGTCTGGCGGTCTGCACTGGATGTGTCAGCTCCCCTCTCGTTTCCAGCCAGATCGATAAGAGAAAACTTTCCGTGCATCTTTCCTCGTCTGCGCAAAATGATCTGGAAAACGGCATGGCTCCTGGAGGAATGGGCGTTTGCTGATGTCTGCCCAGAAGTCCTTGGGAAAATCATATGAATTATTTCCCACAGCCAATAAAGGAATCATATACTACAGCTGAGCCAAAGGATACCTGCAGCTGTTTCCGACTTCGATTAGTTTAAGGACATCTTCTGTGCATTTGACCTCTCTCTCCTGTAGGCCCACCACCTGGACTTGCTGCTTCCCATCTTCCAATACCCGCAGCTTGGCCTTATGATTCAGCAAGTCAAACACCTTAAAGACAAAAGCAGCAGCTGTTTATTAAAACAACATATAAATATGGGTATGTATGAAGTATGCATACCAACCTTGCCACTGTAGATTTCAAAAAAAGTGGCAAAGACCTGGAGATCTAACTTTTTGTAGTTTGGCTTTTTCAACATGAGAAAGACATCTCTGGCTGAAAAAAATATACGTACATAATATAATGCATACATATATATGTACCGGTATATATAAAAATATACACACATGCATACATAAGCTAAAACAAAATTAAATGATTAAATAACTTACCTGACAGAGCGTAGATTCCTTTAGAGCAGTCCTGGTTCTTCCCTGAAAAGTCTCCTCCCATGGTCTGAAGCATAGTCATTCCTAAGTAATGTCATTTCACAACATATCGGAATCAGAAACATTACTTACATGTGTTTTTCCACTTCCAGTTTGTCCGTAAGCAAAGCAAGTTGCCATTCCTCTTTCAAAAATGGTCTCAACCAAAGGCTGGGCTGTAAATCTGGCAACACAGTTGATGTTGTCTGAAGTCATGATTTTTTTAAATGCTCAAAGGGACAATAAAACCCATACCTGTAAACCATTTCATTTGTGGAGTTCTCATCAAAAGCGTAGTCAAAGCGAAATGTTTGATTCTCCAAGTAGCGTGTCAGGTCAACTTTTTGCTTCGGTTCATGAACCATAACAACATCTTTACTTGGGATAGTGATGACATCTAAGTCCTTCATTGATAGCTCTAAAAGGGACAGTTTACAGAAAACTGATACATTCACTATATAAATCAAAAAAAGCCAATAATAGAGAACCTACCTTTTTTATTCAATGGTCGAGCGCGCACACACACACACATATTCTGTGCTCCTCTATCTGCAGGATACAATTTTTGTTGTAAACTTCAATAGTTAATAATAGAATATAATACTACAATAGTAAATAAACATGAACATTTAAATACTGTACAGTCCCTGACAAAAGTCTTGTCGCTTATCCATTTTGTAGAAACAAAAGCTTATAACTTGACTTTAAATTAATCGATTGGTTTTAGAAATGTCTCATATGAAAGCTAAAACCCTCCCAAATTATGCTCAATAAACTAAAATAAATTTGCTTCACTGAAAAAAGATTGATCATTTAATGAACACAGAAAGGTCAGATTTTGGCAAGACAAAAGTTTTGTCGCCTACAGAAAATTGAACAAATAATTTACTTCAAATACAAAAATATGTTGCATAACATCAGTGAATTAAAGTAGTGGTGCTGTGAGATCCATATTTAATATCTTGTATGACTTCCATGAGCTTCAAGGACTACATCCATGCGGTTCCACAATGATTCATACAATTTGTTGATGAAGTCATCAGGAATAGCAAAGAAAGCAGTCTTACATGCCTCCCAGAGTTCATCAAGATTCTTTGGTTTTGCCTTCCATGCTTCCTCTTTCATTCTACCCCAGACATGCTCAATGATGTTCATGTCTGGTGACTGGGCTGGCCAGTCCTGGAGCACCTTGATCTTCTTCGCCTTGAGAAACTTTGATGTTGAGATAGAATTATGCGATGGAGCACCATCCTGCTGCAAAATTTGACCCCTTTTATGGTTGGGAATGTAAGAGGAGCTAATACTTCTTGATATTTTAGGCTATTGATATTGCCTTCCACCCTGCAAATGTCTCGCACACTCCCATAATGGATGTAACCCCAGGCCATGATTTTTCCGCCACCAAACTTAACTGTTTTCTGGGTGAATCTTGGATCCATGTAGGCTCCAGTAGGTCTCCTGCAATATTTGTGGCAGCTGTGATGTAATTCAACCGAGGATTCATCTGAGAAATCCACCTTCTGCCACTTTTCCAGTGTCCATCCTTTTAGCAGGCTGTGGGCCTTGGCAAATGCCACACAGTTTTTTTAATTGCCTTTTGTTTAGTGCTGGTTTCTGTGCACTGATTCGACCATGGAGGCCATTTTGACACAGAATTCTACAAACTGTTCAGGTTGACACAGGGACTTGAGGTGACCAGGCCTGGTGGAGATCTGCTGCAGTGGAAAAGGGGCTGGCAGTGGATTTTCTAATCAACAAACGGTCCTCCTGAGCAGTTGTCTTGCGGGGTCTGCCGGACCTGGGCTTGTCAAAAACATCTCCAGTCATTTCAGATCTTTTTCTTATTCTTTGTACTTGACGCTGAGACACATTGAAGGTGTCAGCCACCTCAGAAGTGGATCTGGTCTTCAGCCTCTTGATAATTAATGCTTTGGTCTCAGGGTGGATCTTAAGCATGTTGTCAGAGGTCAAGTTGCAGTTGATGTGAAGGTCTGGTGTGCTGGGGTTCTTTTTATACACACCCACTAACTGATTGATCAGTAACTGATCACAGGTGAGACTGTAATCTAGGATTGGGTGCATCATATGACAAGGCGACAAGACTTTTGTCTTGCCAAAATCTGACCTTTCTGTGTTCATTAAATTATCAATCTTTTTTCAGTGAAGCAAATTTTTTTTAATATATTGAGCATAATTTGGGAGGGTTTTAGCTTTCATATGAGACATTTCTAAAACCAATCGATTAATTTAAAGTCAAGTTATAAGCTTTTGTTTCTACAAAATGGATAAGCGACAAGACTTTTGTCAGGGACTGTATGTTAATATGACTTACTAGATCATTGGAGGTTAGGGGCCTGTAGTCCAGACTGGCTCTGAAGTCTCTGATCATGCACATAATTTCATAGTTGGGTAAATTGACATCTACTTCCTGGAAAATAAAGTGTTAAATAATTTGAACCACACAACAAAGGAAAGTTGACATTCCTCAAACTCATACTTGGGCCCTCTTTTCTCTGAGTTCCTGTTGCTGAAGTCGTCTCTTCTCACGCTTTTCTTGAAGTTTTTCAACCTCTTTTACACAATTTGATTTCCTCCGAGCTGTAGAGGATAAGCCAGCAAATGAGACAAGCATCATGAAAACAATATGAAACATGAGAGCAGATTCTTTCTAATGCAACTTTATATACAATTAAGGCTATAAGTGTAGTCTTTAAAAACTAGACAATATACATAATATACATAATTGTTTTTATTGCATACAAGAACCACTATATTTCAGTTGAAAGTATGTCTGTTACCATTTTGCTGCTGTATTAGTGTTTGATTGAAGGCGGATTGTGGCGCTATCGCTGGTGGTGGAGGCTCTGAAACTTGGCTGTGTTGACTTGGTCGGGCCCGGGTTGTTCCCACAGCCGCAGCTGAGGGGAAACACAATAAATTTATGACCATACAGCTAAATAATACCATTGAAAGTCCAATGAGGTTCATTTGGTCTTCCAATAATTTATGTTATTAGGTTCTTTTTTCAGACCAAGAGTTTGTTTTCATACCTGACAGTTTCAACTGCTCACTAGCGGTCTTCCTCAGAGTGGTCAAGTGATGTTGCTTTGACGTGTCCGGACAGCTGATTTATACAGGTTTTGGCGCTGTCTTCCTACCTTCCTTTGCTGTTTCCTTTTCGCATTCTGTCCTGTGTTCCTTTTTTCGTGTATTGAATGCGCTCCCTGTTTCCCCAATGTATGTTTTATTGCAGGACATGCAGGGTATTTCGTATATGACATTACATTTATACTCCGGTTCTATTTTATCTTTTGGGTAGACGAGCAATTGCCTGAGTTTTTTGTATGGTTTCACTGGTGTGTTGATATTGTGTTTTCCCATTGCCCTTTGCACTTTTTCTGTTAAGCTCCTTATGTACAGTAATGTTACCATATCTGTCCTCTTTTTTTCAATAGACAGTACTGGAAACTACTCTGAGGAAGACCACTGCTGAGCAGCCAAAACTGTCAAGTTTGGTCTGAAAAAAGAACCTAATAACATAAAATATCACTGAAAAGTAAAACAAAAATCCAGCCATAAATACCATAGTGAGCATAGCAAAACCTACCTCTGTTCTCCCGAGGCATGTTTTCAGCTTTAGGTATTGCTGTAACTCGTCTTGTCTGAAGAATAAAACAAGTTCATGTCATGCAGTTTTGTTGCAATTTTTCAATTGCTTATTTCATTTTTTAAAACTTTTTTATAAATCTGTCAAATCTTTTTGCACTTGTGCACAAAACAATTCAAAATGTTTGAAAACACATAAAATACAAACACAGTCATCAGATTTATAAACTTATCTAATCATCGTCCAGAGAATGGTCTGACAATGCTACCAAACTTTTAGAGGTGTAATGTGAGGGAGTCAGAGGCCTGTAGGACCAGTATCACACTGTTTCTGCATGATTTACAAATCCATGCGTTTTAGTAACTGGTATCTACAGTAAACTGTGTCTGACTTGGTCCTCAAAGTCTCTCAATGAAAGCATGGTTCACACAGGTTTTCACTACAGAAGTATTTTATGTAGTATTTCTAGAGCTTCTGTCTTTACAATCTAGTCATGTATTAATCTGCATGTTCAGTTTTTCTTTAGTCTTCAGTTTACTGGACTTTGGTAACAGTGTGCAGTATTTAAGTACACAGACCACTGCAAACAGCGTTTAAATAATTGGCCCTCGCCACTAACAAAGTTAGGGGCGAGGGGTATTGTTCTTCGTCGGTTTCTTTTTTTTTTTATTCCCTTTTCCGACCAAACGATCGCATTTTTGACCCCCTGAACATGGACGAAAAGTCCCCAAACCGGGGTCCAGATCGATCGGCCCGGCGAAAAATTCGATAAAATGGGCATCGCGACAATGACCCGAGTGACCCGACTCAACAGCGCCACCTAGAATTCGACCCCTATGGGACTAGGGACAGAACAAAGTTTGTCGCAGGGAAACGAAATTCGGGACAGTGATAAAGAACAATGAGACAAGCCAAAAGATGAATTGGAGCATGACCCTATGACGAACAGGAAGTCGGCCATATTGGATCAAACATTTGGCGCCGTTTTGACTTGGGTGTCTACAAAAAGATTCAAGTCCCCGGGGTTTGGTCCAAATGAGCTCAGATTTGACATGTCACATCTACAGACATAAACTCACAGAATTTTTCAACTTTTTTTGGAATACTCCTTACGGTTCGCCCGTAGCACGCCGCCGAAAAACGCCTTCATTTCCTGTTCTTTCGGTGACCTGTCACGGCCACAGGCATTGTCCTAGAGAGCTCAAATTCAAATCACAATTGCGTGATCCAGGCCTGAATGTGATGAAATATGAAATTTAATAAAAGTGAACTCTATAGCGCCCCCTAGCATAGACGTGAAACATCAACATTATCGGATTTGGACCAAATTCGAGAATTAAATTCTATGCATGTTTACAAGCAAAAAAGTCATTTTTTACGGTTGGTCAGCAGGGGCGCAAAGACTACCCCCCAAAAAATAGTTAAAAAATAATTACACACACACAGGCTTAGTCCGATCGTGCTGAAATTTGAATCACTCATGCCTGATTTCGACCTGATTATAATACACTATAAAACATATGAAATGTGAACACTATAGCGCCCCCTAGCATTGACATGAAACGTCAACATTGTCGGATTTGTACCAAAGTCGGGGATTAAATTCTATGCATGATTGTAAACAAAAACAGTATATTACGGATATTGGGCATTTTTCATGGTTGGCCAGTAGGGGCGCAATGACTCCTCTGAAACATTTAAAGGTGCATTATTTAATGTGTCTAATGGACGAGCTGTCGACCTGGGCGGATGTAGGGAAGAGAGGGTGGCGTGCCGGGGCGGTCGCGAGTCCCCGGAGGTCGCGTGGGGGGGGCGGTGCGCGCCCGGGGCGAGGGCCACCATCGCCGCGCGGCTTTAATTAATTGTGTTTTAGGTTCCGCAAAAAGTGTTATGCAGTTTTGAGTGATAAATGAATGAAAATAGTTATAGTATTTGCTCATTCTGTGACAATTTTTGAAAATTTGTGCCAACATTTAGACTGTAAACTGAGAATTGAATGTGGGTTTGCAATATGTCAGTATATGCTGTGGGTATGTTTAACTATTTTTGAAGTGTGCTCAGTTGCATCTTGTTGATTGCAGGGCAGTGGAGTGAAATAGCAACACAGTGGAATAGTGTGATCTTGTGTATCTATATGTGCAATGTTTGTGATGTGCTTTATGGCCAAGAGTTTAGCTATGTGAGGCTAGGCGTAAGGTATGGAAAATGAAGCAATAAGAATGGAAAATGTGTCTCATTTATTTGGTTTGAAAACTTTGAAAAATATTTTGTTTGTGGATTCTGACCTTGGGGACCTTGCTGACTTTAGGAATAGAGGAAGGAGGAAGTGAAGTCTCTGGGCTCTGTGGTATTTCATCATCAGGAGCAACATCTGGATTCAAAGCAAATATGCTTTCAAGATCGATCTGGATTAAAAAAAAGAAAGGTTTTACTGGTGTAGTTTTCAGCACACTTGATCAGCCTCTATTTGCATGTAGGTATATGTCTAGCAGTTAGACCTCTTTGCCTTTGGTGTCCCCATTCTCGATCCACTCTACTGTCACACTCTCATTGTCCTCATGCAGTGATGTGACCATGGCCTGGTGTATTCGTCCTGCAGTGGGAAATATCAAGAGATGATGTGACTCTTACAGCTCAAATATGCATGGACTATTACTTTCAAGTATTTGTGCTTCTTGAACCATACATTGCAGCAGTGAACTCTATCAAAACCTTTAAACAAAATCCAGAAGCTACACACAATGTTCTAGTCATTCTTTCACTCAGTTACTTTTAAATAATTATATTGATGCTTCTGGGTGTGGTCCCTGTCAAAAGATCTAACATTCATCTTCTTTTGAACTATGTTACGAAGCGTACACATTGAATGACATTATATGGCATCAATATTAAGTAATAGAGTACAAACAACGGCGTATTAAATGTCCCGTATTTTAGGTGTTCCTGAGACCGTGAAGAAAGATGCCGCAAAAGGGGAGAGGCCCCGGCATCAGCGGCACATGAGGCGGGCCCGTAAAGATCAGTCAGTGCAGCTATAATTAACACCCTAAAAACTCTATTTTCTACCTAAGAATCACATGACATAAGACAAAGATGCAAACAGATGTGACGATAGTTGACAAGATAACAATGTAAAAGAATGGACCTGATTCACCTAGCCGGTAATCACTCAATTCATAACGACGGGGCAACTGATACAATTATTTGATGGTTGGTTCAGCAATTATATCAGCCTGTGAAGTCGTCTAAAGACATACAAGGTGAACTGAGGATATGCGGTTTAAATAAAATGATGCTTTTGCTAGCTAGCATAGACACCTTGCTTGCAGCGGATGGTTGCCGCTCTCATCCGGACGAGCCGGAGGGAGAGCAGTGTGTGCGGGCAGCTAGTGGACGTACCGTCGCTCCGCTTTATCTCCACATAAATGCCCACGAAGATTTTTCCAAAAATCCCGGCCATCTCTCTAGATATTTCTGTGCGGTTTGGGGAACACCGGATCGGTCCAAGCTGTGTCACCAACGGCACAGGGGAGGCAGGAGAGGCAGTGCGCATGCGCGGGAGTGGCTCAGTAGCTCAGCAGCAGTACCACATCTTTCGCCATGAGTGACTACTATAATATACAGATGCACAACCTGAACATCAAACACACTTACACTAACTAATTAATTATAGTTTCTCCAAAATAAACTTACCAGATACATTTGTCATTTTTTTAGACTGTATGAATAAAACATGCTGTAGCCTAGACAGAAAGAATGTGGCTGTTTGCTGCAGGTGTTCTAATAAGTAAGAAGAGGTAGAGGATGCTCTTGGAAAAAGTATCAAAACTTTAGACACAACGAAATCCAGGCATTTCAAAAAAGTAAAAGTCGCACAAGGAAAAGTTTAAAGGCCTTTATTTAAATGGACAAAGGCAACATGTTTTGACCATGACTGATCTCATCAGGGTTTAGCCCTGACGCCATATATATATATATATATATATATATATATATATATATATATATATGTGTTTCTCACCTTCCACGTTGAGGGTAGGTCTCTCTCACCCTCATTGAGCTCGGGTCCTCTACCAGAGGCCTGGGAGCTTGAGAGTTCTGCGCAGTATCTTTGCTGTTCCCAGTACTGCACTTTTCTGGACTGAGATGTCCGTTGTTTTTCCCGGTATCTGTTGTAGCCACTCTTCCAGTTTGGGGGTTACAGCCCCGAGTGCTCCGATCACCACAGGCACCACTGATGCCTTTACTTTCCAGGCTCTCTCCAGCTCTTCCTTGAGCCCCTGGTATTTCTCTAGCTTCTCGTGTTCCTTTTTCCTGATATTACCATCGCTTGGTATTGCGGGGATGTCAACCACCACAGCTCTGCTCTGTTTCTTATCCACCACCACTATGTCTGGTTGGTTCGCCATCACCATTCTGTCAGTCTGTATCTGGAAGTCCCACAGGATCTTGGCTCGGTCATTCTCCACAACCTTTGGAGGTGTTTCCCACCTTGATCCTGGGGTTTCCAGCCCGTACTCTGCACAGATGTTTCTGTACACTATGGGGCGTACCACCGGAACATAACTGAAGTGGCTGATATCAAGAAATCCTACCAATGGCTTGAGAGGGCTGGTCTGAAGGACAGCACAGAGGCACTGATCCTGGCTGCTCAGGAGCAGGCCCTGGGCACTCGAGCAATAGAGGCCCAGATCTACCACACCAGACAAGACCCACGGTGTAGACTGTGCAAAGAGGCTCCTGAGACAGTCCAGCACATAACTGCAGGGTGTAAGATGCTGGCAGGGAAAGCATACATGGAGCGACATAACCAAGTGGCGGGCATAGTGTACAGAAACATCTGTGCAGAGTACAGGGCTGGAGACCCCAGGATCAAGGTGGGAAACACCTCCAAAGGTTGTGGAGAATGACCGAGCCCACTTAGCCTTTGCAAATGCTCATCTTGACAAAGAAGAAGACTGTCAGTCTTTTGTTTTATGGTCAGACAAAACAAAAATTGAATTGTTTGGCCACAATGATGTATTGATGATTTGGCCTAAAAAAGGAGAAGCCTTCAACCCTAAGAAGACCATCCCCACTGTCAAACATGCTGGTGGGATCCTAATGCTTTGGAGATGTTTTTTCAGCCAATGGGCCAGGGAGTCTAATCATAGTACGGCACCATGAACAAAGTGCAATAGATCAATATTCTCAACAACGACATCAAGCAGCCTGCAGAGGAATTTGTCTTGGGCACCAGTGGACATTTCAGCATGACAATGACCCAAAGCACACTGCAGAAATGGTTATTAGACAGCAACATTACCATTTTGTAGTGACCCAGCCAGAGTCCTGACTTGAATCCAACTAGGAATCTGTGGAGGGAGCTAAAGATCAAGGTGATGGCAAGGAGACCCTCCAATCTGGAAGCACTGGAGCTCACTGCTAAAGATGACTGGATCAAAATATCAGTGGAGACATGCAAAAAACTGGTCAGCAATAAAGGATTTTCTACTGATAATTGAGAAGGGAATATTTTTGGACATGCCACTTTTTGTTCAAATGTAAATAAAAGCTGAGAATTATTTTTTTCCACAATGATGCTTCTTGTACATTGTCTTATTATCTTCTGGGAGACGCCTGTGTCATTTCCAATCAAGAAAAAATTAGGTGGTTGAATAAAAGTAACTTTAAGTCAAAATTTGTCAGGGATATGAATAATTTTGGGCTTGACTGTATATATAGACCGAACTGAATAAAACTGCACATAGATAAACGAGAATAGAAAAAGCATTCTACTCTGAAAACCACCAACTGTCTGTCCTTGTTGGGATTCAGGTCAATTTTACCCAACCTCAGTTCTTCTTCTCTACATCAGAAATGCCACTAACTTTCAACACAAGGTGGCAGCAAGGCTTAACAGACAACAGTTTCGAAATAGACCTAATTATTTTTGAAGATGTCAAATTACTGCAATCAACCAACTTTTAAAATACACAGTAATATTTATATATAAAAATGTTTGCTTTTTTAAAATATATTTATTATATATATATTATTCTTTAGTTGTCAATCGCTTTGACACAAATTATAAAATTTCAGCACAAAATGTCAAAACTTTCAACTGAAGGAGCAAATAATTGAGCATTAATTCTCATATCAAGATCCAGATCGTCCCAGCAAGTGCTATAGTCTGTCCGCATAAATACACATACTTTTACTCCTAAATAGAGACTGAAGACAGAAAGGAAAAAAGTGAACACACAATAATCACATTATGAACTGATTTTATTGACAGACAGACAGACAGATAGAAGCACTAGAAACACAATGACTTCTGTAGTAAAAATCTGTGTCAACCAGGTTTTCATTCAGAACCTCTGATATCCAAGTATGAGACAGTTTATACACCATCAGCTAAAAATCATAGATTTGCAAAAGGTGCGTTTTTGTTCCCTAAATGATTGTGTAATATTATAATAATATATAAGTAAGTCTGCTGAAAGGATCTGTTTTGAAATCATGGATTATTCATGAGCCATAAAGTGCACTGACTCTGCATATGAAAATCCTTTTCAAGGCACAAGGGGGACTGCCCACATTTTAATTCACATAATCCTTAAAGGGCTATAGGCCTAGATACAGTTATAACTCTTCCTGTGGTGAACAACACACACAAAAGGTTGTAATGTAGGTTATTTATATGTTTGTTCAAAAGAATAAGTCTGAAGAATGAAGTGATTGATTCATTTTCACTGGAAACAGCTATAGGCATGTATATGGATACAAGGAGCCATTTTGAGGCCTGGGTAAGCCTTCAGCCTCTATTTAACAATTTGCTGCACACAATGCAACCATTAACCAGACCAGCTAATGTTCAATTAAATAATTGGTTAACATTGATTAATTGCACTACATTATTTACATTTCTGAATTTCTGATCAAGGGTTTTGGATGTTTTGGTTTTAAAGAAATAAACAGGCCGTACTATACTCTAAACAATAATGTGCTATAGCACCTTAATGCTCAAAGTCGCATTACCTGTTCACTACCTTTACCCAATGAAAAGCTACACACCTGCTCTGGGGTAGACTGATGTGTGCTATAGACATCGTGACCCCAAGCTGACCACTGGTGTGAGTGTGTTAAACTTCATATCTCGCCTAGTGGAGCTTATTTGATCTGTGACACTCTCGTCTCGATATGGGAAGAATAACCCCAGTGCTTCCCAACAATTTCTCCCAGTGACCCCTATTTACTTGTCGATGCAGTGACATTAGCATCTTTCTGAAAAACTGTCTTGTAGAGAAAAATATAATTATTTTCTGTTTGATAAAGATGTTAGAACATTAATATGTGTATATTTCTGCTCCTTATAGACATGCAGTATATATCCCCTCAAAGTGATTGCTGTCTAATTAATACTACTGTGACATGTTTGGATCAGCACAAAGTTAATCAAGTTATTGCTCATTTCATGATGCCATTTCTGTAGTTGGGGGCTTTATTGAGTAATAGTTTCTGGCAATGATGGCCCCTTAGTCCTGTGCAGTGGAGCTGCAACATCCCCCCAGGGTTTCATCTGTTCTAGACCTTTTGTTAATGAAAGTTATGCCCTCCAATGCTTTTAACCTAAAATGATCTGCTGTAAAGGACAATTACCTTGTCTTTTGAATGTGCATTCTGCCCTGCATATGTTACAAATAGAGTATGTCTCATTAAAAGTTCAGGGATTTAGAGGGATCAGAACAACATGCCTAAAAATAATCCATATTGGTCTTCTATGGGCTTTCCTGCACTGCCTGTTTGCTCATTATGTTTTCATAAAATCATCCCACCACTGATAACTTGGACCCAGGAGGAGATGCACCCTGCAGGGAAACAGAAAGCTGTCCCTTAATTATCTTCAGCATTCCTAAGGCATTGCTTGTTTATTTGACTGTATTTACTAACTCCTAATATCACTCTCTTGTCTCCTGACTGGATAACCTTCAACAACTATCAATATTAGAATACTAATTTTTTCCTTTAAACCACAAATTGCTACAAATTAAAGCATACTAAAGATAAAAAGGGGATTTAAGGTATCTTTACGTTTATGATGCAGGTGTAACATTTTAATAAAACAAACTAAAACCACGTTCAATATATGGAATATTTAGCACAGAAAGAGATCTTCATTATTTTATTATTTTTCTTTTATGACAAAAAAAAATAAAAAAATTCTACATGGAAGTCTGGGAGTCCCTGCTTAGACTGCTGCCCCTCGACCCGACCCCGGATAAGCGGAAGAAAATGGATGGATGGATATCACAGTGTATTAGCTAGTTAGCTTCAAGTGTTTCAAGTTAGCTTCAAGTTGAAGTGACAAATTGATTTTTAATTTGCTATATGAGACATGTACATTATAATTGTGGACAATGGATCTGCTTCTCTAATCTCAAAGCCTATGTGGAGCTGCCAGTCAGCTTCATGTGTGCT